CTGCTTTCATAATAGATTCCATCATGAAAAGATGGGTCAAACGTACATTCTTGTATTAACTCCGCATCTGACATATGAGTGACCAAAAACACATCATACAATATGCAAATCACTTTCAGGAAAGTGCACAACCAATAAGTGACATCACTTGCTCAGCCTGTTTTGGAAATCCACAAATCATAGGCGGGTGACCAAATGCAAACACGTCTTCTGCTTCCACAGCCATGCAACGTGCTGCAGCCATCAGGCTGCTTCACTCAAAAATATTCCTCACACAAGTGACGACATATGTATAACAACAAAACATCACATCTAGTTAAATGGCACCGCAAACCCGCTGACCTTGCACAACGCTGGAGACATGACAAGTGTATGTAGTTATGGTTTAATGGGTGAGATACAAGGAAGTGTTGAAGCTGCCGGTGCACATAAGGCCCATGATAAATATGTTATTATGTGCTATCCGATAAACCAACAGCAATTCTTCTCCACCTTTTTCTACACCCAGTATCTCACACAAGTTGCAGTGACTATGACAATGATGACTCACAAGCAATGCTTGCCTCCATATAGCATTTGTTAAGACGGTAGTATGTGCATCCATAATGATACAGCACTATTTTTTCAGACTTCTTAAGTGAAAGACAATTTTGCAAAGCTGTATCATGCGAGCTTATACCACATGTACATTAATGAGCTGTATCAACCTGTCCATACTGTCTAAATGAATTGCTAGTATAATGGCGTGCAATGGATTAATTGCATGCTGCACTACGTCAATAGGCTCAAAACGTTGGCAAAATCATAATGAAGTAGCACATTGCCTTTGAACACCACTGCAGCATGGGTGCCAGCATTTCTTTCAGTTTGCTGGCATCACTACTTTGTCATGTTCAAATGCAAACCTAAAGATAGAGGCAGGTATCGATACATCACATTTTATAGGGATTCATTAGATTTAAAGAATACCAAAACAATGTTTTCTCTTAGAAGTCCAAATCCCCTCACACACTCCACATCACATCAAGATCAATACAAGCCACTGTCACACACCACCAGTGATCACGCCCATTTCAAGCCCCTGATTCTCATTTTAATCCCAAATAAGTGTGATCCCACACTTGCGCAACCTGCGGGACTATCAAATTGCAGGTTTTCTCACAATTTCCGCACAGGTTTTCGGTCATAACACCGCATTTCACCGTGAGCTCCCTTCCAAACAAAGTCTCAACGGGGGTTCATGGTAATGCGGCTCAAGGGGTTGTACTTCAAGGACACAATTTTGTGTTCAAGATTTTGATTTGCCGTGCAATATGTGATAAATTTTTAGCAAAATACACATAGAAAATAACCGTAATGTCTCCCTAATTTTATAATGTTTAGGTAACCCATAAAACCGTGCAAGATTCTTTGCTTTGGTGCACACGCCGCCAACCGAGCTGTCTGTAAGAAATACGTCAGTACAAAAAAAGGTCGGCAGGAGAAAAAGGCAGATTTGCCGTCGCGGCCTCTTTTTTTTATAACACTTGAGAGAGTGCCGTTCTTTTTTTGGTGACGTACATTTTTGCATACAGTGGCGCTCTCTTCTTATAACACTGACCTATGGCTTAAACATAAGGAAAAATGTTCAGTTGGCGACGAGTGCCGCACAATCCGAAAGTGGTCATGCTTGCGTTCGCGACACGCATCCAGCAGGAAATCTTACCAACAGCCAATCACTTTCCGCGAATTATATCATACGTGCCGCAACATCGCTCTCGCAAATGCATCAGCGGCCATGCTGTTTTTACCGTAAGCAGAAAACAGCCTATAACAGAACGGCAATCGTATGACGTGTCTATGAAGATATCAATGCTAAGATGTCTTTAAAGTAGTCCCCCAATGAACCAAGTAGTCACGCGTCTTCCAATCAACTTCACGTCACAATTGCAGGGTTAACAGGAAACCCGTGGAACGAAGGATACCAAGCTGAATCAAGGGGAATATTTGTCTACGACTTTCTTTCTAAAACAAAATTTCTGCACACCCAATTTCTGTAAGCCTCTTGCTGTCGTCATATACTCCAATCGAATTCAGTTTAAGGTTCGCCGACCAGATCGTCGACGTGGTCAGGTTTCATCAATCTGTCCGGCTGTCGACATCGTTGGACGTTGTGGACGCCTCTTCATCAACGTGCCGGTCGGGACAATCATACTAAACAATGTCTACAAGCGCACAAAACTAACCCTCCAGCCTCCCCTGGAAACAACAAACTTACTTAGAAGTCATACTGCGGGTATAAATTGCCCAAGCACAATTTCAAAGGGCGGTCTTTTCTCTACTTAGTCGTCTCTTTGCCCTCGCCTTACGAAACATTTTCGTCATCTTCGCCCAACGAAGACTCAGAGCCCGTCACTAATACTTCGAAAGCTAAGCTACCTAGAACCACGCAGAACACATAGCTGGACAGCTCTCGTCAAAATGCGTCAGACAAATGTTAATAAACAATGGTAAGTGTTACCTTTGACATGTCGAATCAGGTCAAAGGGCACTTCGACTCTCGAAAACTTTGAGGGCACAAATTGGCACTTGATAGATCTCTCCCGTTACCTTAAGAACTAAACATGCTACGACAAGGTAGAAGACGCAATTGAGTAACTGCTGAATAATCTAATCAAATAAGCACTAGTAGATATGAGCACATACGGCCTGTAATGCGTCATGTCGCGTCAAAGGGGTGAAGGCGATTATCTCATTGATATCTCCAGCTGTATCAAGAACTAAACAAGCCAGATCAGTGGCAAGTACACAGTTGGAAAGATTTTTCAAAGGGATAGGACTTTGCCATGAAGGGTTAAATTGTACAACCTTCAGGGGGTTAATTCTTGTCACAGAAGTCAAAGTATGACCTAGGTTGATCTTGGATTACCAGACCTTTCAAAAGCCACCAGAACGATGCGAATGCGCTTCACAGCGATGAAGATCAGAAGGAAAGTAAAAAACCGTTTAAGGAATGTGTTTTCTTCGATAAAAAGCAGGCACGCTACCTCACAGGTAACCGGCTCTGTCGGGATGTCCCGGGAAATGCTAAATACACCTACAAATAACCAAAATACAAATCCAGCAAATCATAAATGCTACGACTCTTTTTCCGCTTCTTTAAGCTTTTGCTCCCATGGGTTAGGAAGACAAGCGCGAAACCTCATGCCTACTGGCATGTACGTTTGATTACGCATGTTTCCTACGCTAACTGTCCGCACATGTCCGGAATGCTGAGAAAAGTTGCTGCCGTTCATTTTCTCTGAAACATCTTTCAATAACGAAATATTGAATGGCGTGCATTTCGTTGAAAGTAAAAAAAAAGGTATGTGGCATCGGCCATAACTCCTTTACAGCATTTTCCATCCATTGGATAGCTATTTTATATCCATGTAATGCTTGGGTTGCATTCGGCGTGCTGGGGGCTTGTCATAGCCCGGGGCCTGGCTAAGTCAGCGTGCTGGAGGTTTGTCACAGCCCAGCACCTGGCTAAGTCAGCGTGCTGGGGGTTTGTCATAGCCCGGGGCCTGGCTAAGTCAGGGTGCTGGGGGTTTGTCACAGCCCAGCGCCTGGCTAAGTCAGCGTGCTGGAGGTTTGTCATAGCCCGGGGCCTGGCTAAGTCAGCGTGCTGGGGGTTTGTCACAGCCCAGCGTCTGGCTTAGCCGTGCGTCTGCGGCTTTCTTGCGCGCGAGTGGCGTACGTATTAGAGTCGTCTTGAAGTACCACAGCAGTCATCGATCTGCGACTCAAACGAGCCCCACCAGATTCACATACGGGTGTGAACCTCCACGCTTTGCGCCTACCACTGCAGCCGGCATGACTTTTGAGCCTGTGAAGTCACCAGCGGAGCAGCATCTCAGACAGTGGGGGTTCCAATACGTATTTTTAACCAGAATCTGTCCATGTATCGCCGTAGGGATAATGCCTAGCATTGTCGGAAAGTGAGGGTGCCACCCACGGACGTCCCGTTCATACGCCTACGTGCGAATAAGACGGCAGTCATTGACATGATTATTATGAAGTGCAGGGACAAATGGCCCTCCAAAATTTTGGAAGTTGTGCTAGTATAGCTGACGCATGTAGTGAACACACTCATTTTGATAATTGCCTTCACCGCGAAGGCAGGCGACTCCGGAATGTTGCTCGAATTCTTCACATTTCTCTTTTGATCCGACGCGGCTCGATGGGGTGAATTTTGGGATGCGGCTCGATTTTGATTCGGGGGCAGAACGAGCAGCCGCCTTCAACTTTGGAAAATAATTGAACTTTTTGTTGTCTTTAAACTTTCTTTACTCCAGCGTTGGAAAGCAATTTAACAACCTTACCCTACGAGTTGCGAAAAAACCGAATACAAGACGGAATCTGCCTCTCCCTCATTCTCCTTCCTAATCTGCCCCTCCCTCACTCTCCTTCCTAACCCTTAAGCGGGTTCTGCCGCCGCTGTGCCGAGACGGGCGCCTATCACCGGCTGCCGAAGCGTGAGCAGAAATTCCCGGGAGAGGCAACGCTTCTGCTTGTGCGAAGGCTCTTACGCCTCGGCATTCCTACAGCAAATATCCAGAAAGCGTCGTCTGTTGACATTGCCCGCCTCTCCTGACCGATTCGACCCACATGCGGGATGTTGCAACACTACTCGTAAACACAGCGTCCAGCGTCCAGAATTATCCGGCTTTTGCTTGACAAATCCAGAAAATACCGGTTCCAGATGCGGGCACCTCCCACTCGGCGCTTCAGCGGAAATGTCCGCGTGGCCCGAGTACCATGCGTGAATCTCGTGTGTGCAAGCTGTGCCGGCAGATATGCCCTTTTAAGCAGCATAAGCAGCTGAAGTTAGCGTCTTCACCGCGTAAGAAGGGCATAGCTGCGGCGGCCGTGCCTGCAGGCTGGGCGCACGGGCTCACGGCTCTGGCTGTAGTTTTCCGCTGGTGAAGGAGAGCGGGGGGAGGGGAGACCGCCTGAGGGCAAGGTCTGAGGCACTGTCCGCCAGGTACACAGACGGCCGGGGAGGACCCAGCCGGCCGGTATAAATGAGACGGTGTCCGCCAGACGGCAAGTAGTGGGCCATCACGTGCGGGTCAGGTGTCTGACGGTTGCGTGCCACGAGAGTCGCGGTAAGTTATTGGCGGCCAGGACTGATGGGGCGGCGCGGCGTTCGCTCACTGTTGTTCCACAGCGCTGTTCCGCAACGCGGCCGGCGTGGCGGATTGATTGCAAGTTGTGTGACAGACCTGCCATTGTCTGATGATGATCACAGATCAGCGGGGCATTGCGTATCTTGTATGTGTTCATGAGGCTTGCGTTCACCATGGCATTTCAGCCAGATGTGTGCTGTATTTGTGGTGCAGGTTGGCCTGAAGAGCTGGCGCCGTAGCACCTCATGGAACTATACGCCTGGAATAATACGTATACACCCGTTACTCATAAGTTTTTTTTTAACTTCTGTCACCTCTTCTCTTGACGCCTCGGTTTCTCTGCAAAGTTGTGTTGCTTACCGTATGTATATTAACCATGGCATGCTACACAGCGTATCACTTAACGTGCACAACAAGAGCCGACGCCCTTGTTTTCGATAAGGAACATTGCCGTGGCGCCGTAACCTGAACACGTTAGTGCAAAACTGCCATTGTTGTGTCCATTTGCATGGGGTTCGTTCAGCTGCAAATTGCTCGTTGGAATCTCGGCGTGTACCTCAGTCTGGAAAAACTAGAAAGCTTATCGATGCTCCCAATACCATGAATCTCTATTGTTGTTCAGTTTACTGCCCGCTTGACAGCTTCCAACGGAACGATATTAATCGATGTATCCTTTGGCCCCAATCTCTGCCAAAATAATTGCAATATTTATAAACATGCCAACGAGTGGTCTGACAGCCCGCTGAGCGGTGAGCCACGGCGCTGCTGGAAATCATCCCAGCTGCTCGACTGCGTTATTGCGGCGGCGGCCCTGGAAACAGCCGTGGCGTTGCATGCAGACGTTTTGTCCGTGGGCTCCCTTGGTCGCTTCCAGTGCCGGTCGCGAGGGGCAGACGTGGAACAACTTTCAACTAAAAACAACTTTGTGGAATAACTTCCAGAAGTCCGTCCATAGGCTCCCCTGGTCGCTCTCCGCGCAGGTCGCGGGGGTTGGACGTGGAACAACTTTCAACTTGGAACAACTTTGTGGAATAACTTCCAGAAGTCCGTGGGGTCCCCTGGGCGCTCTCCGCGCCGGTCGTGAGAGTCAGACGGCCTTTTCAGAAGCCCGTCCGTGGGGTCCCCTGGGCGCTCTCCGCGCCGGTCGTGAGAGTCAGACGGCCTTTTCAGAAGTCCGTCCGTGGGGTCCCCTGGGCGCTCTCCGCGCCGGTCGTGAGAGTTAGACGGCCTTTTCAGAAGTCCGTCCGTGGGGTCCCCTGGGCACTCTCCGTGCCGGTCGTGAGAGTTAGACGGCCTTTTCAGAAGTCCGTCCGTGGGGTCCCCTGGGCGCTCTCCGCGCCGGTCGTGAGAGTTAGACGGCCTTTTCAGAAGTCCGTCCGTGGGGTCCCCTGGGCGCTCTCCGCGCCGGTCGTGAGAGTTAGACGGCCTTTTCAGAAGTCCGTCCGTGGCATGTCCCGCGAAGAGCGATGAGGGTGGCCCATGACAGAAACGTCCGCTTGTAGCATCCCGGCTTCTTCCAGAGCAACCGCCACAATGCAGCGAACAAACCTTCAACCCGAAGATAACCAGAGTATTTGTTGGAAGTGTACCTAGAATTGCCGCCATTGTACGCATTTTTCAGAAGCTGGCACAGGTGCTTGAGCTGATTTGAATGCCGTGCTGCCTCCAACCTTGGCAGGCCATCACTCGTAATATTCCGCAAACGTATGCACTGATCATAGTGACTAAGTTAAATGGAATCCTCGTGGAAATAATGACACTGTGGCGCCCAGATCCTGCGTTTACGCGAGCAGCGCTAGTGCCCAATGTTTTCGTATCCATGCATCGTCTTCGTTGAAGGCGCAGGAAACCCATGCCGCTAATTCATCTCCACCCAACACTTAAACTAAAACTCATTCTAAAGCTGCACAGTGCCAACCAAACACTTAAATGGCTTCTGAAAGACTAATAATTGTTCACGAACCCCGGGTACAACAACAAGACGTCATCATAGTTTGCTGCTGATCTAAGCTAACCTCGGTGAGTAGCCCGAGACTTATGTTTACGAGGGGGCTTGTCTTGCCGAGCTATTTTTGCGGATGAAGCTGCGTTACTAAATGTGTAATGTACTAAAGGTGCCTGATAATGAATGGTCCTTCGACGACGTTACACGCCTACCGCGAAATGGGCGTCCGTTCGGTTTCAAGGACGGTTCTGGTTATCGTAGAATGAGACTAATGAAGTCGTCTTCCCAAACTTCATGTTTACAGCAAGCAAATGTTTGTTTGTAGCATTGCAAAAACCATGTTTGCAGCAAGAGCAACATTGTCGATGCCTTCGAACTGTCGGCCGGCTTGGTCGTAACTCGTGTGGAAAGTAACGATCGGCGAGTGTCAAACGTTCGACGGCCGTATTCGCGCGTGTGTACTACACACGGCTGGACTGAAAGCTTCGAGTTCGTGATGGCTTGATGTACTTTGTGTAAAGTATTCTGATCGGGGACCTGTCCGCGACCTCTGAGGCCAGACTGCAGCTGCGACCTCTCCACCTTCGCAGCGTTCCAAGCCTGCAACTCGAGCCGTGCATGACCTCTCCCGACGTCTAGACCTCTAGGTGTTACCTCACCATTGCGTAACGGCTCTCTCGCTCTCTCTCTCTCTCTGGCGCTCTGGCGGGACGCGCTCTGGGGACTGCTCGTAACGGCGGAGTTCATGCTGAGACTAACCGTCGGTCAATTACCAAGAGACTAAGGTCTAAGGAAGCTGTCTGGCAAACAGTGAAATGAAATGGAAAGTGAAATGCATCGTATGCAAACACTTCACGCTTGCAGATCTGTTGGTGAGCGTGAGGTCGCCGGGAACAATGAGCGTACTCAACAATGAGCGTACTTTTTGTGACGTACTCAAGTGGTTGTGTGAGATTCTTCGACGGTATTTGCTGGTATATTGAAAGCCTGCTATGCCAGCCTGAGATGGCAGCATGCGGAAGAGTCATGCTCGTTGGGCTTTGCGTATTTCCATCAGGTACATTGCCGCCGGCTTCCGGTGCTAGCCGCGGCGTCGGCCGGCCTCGCCCAGTCTCTGGGAACCTCCAGCGCCGGGCCAGGCAGCAGGCCGACGCCAGGCCGACGTGGGCCCGCTCGGTCTCTGGGAACCTCCAGCGCCGGGCCAGGCAGCAGGCCGACGCTAGGCCGACGTGGGCCCGCTGCATTATCAGTCGACAGGCTCGTCTTGTAACGCCTGGTGGCTGAACCGTTCCCTAACCTACCCACTACGCTGCTCTGTCCAGTCAATACCATGGGCGTTATCCGCATAAACGACCGTGCCGCGGCCTCGAGAGTGACGGCGCTGTCTCCCGACAGATGCCGGTGAACGTAGTGCGGATTTTGGTGACCGACGGCATCAATGAGCAGTGTGCTCAGATCCTGCGCAATCGGGGCCTGCACGTCACTGTTGTTGTCGCCAAAATGACCAGCGAGGAGATCATACGACGGCTTAAGGTCGGTCGCCGGTGGCTGCCAGGAGGGAGGGGCCTGCAGCCGGAGCGGCAGACTGATATAGAGTGACGCGCGAGAGTAATGCGCCACGGGAGACGGTCTGTCGGTCATGTACTTTGCTCACTGTTGGGTCATACCAGTGTGACTGTTTTTTCATTGTTTGTGCCTGATGTTACCCACGTGGAGTTATGTTTACGGACTAAAATGCTGATAGAAAAGAATCGTGATTTGTGACGGCAACCTTGATCTTGATCTTGGCGTGTCTGTACCGAGCTACATAGCACCTTTCTTTAGCACAGATTCTTAAGATTCTATCTTATAGCACAGATTGGAAAGCCTATCTTTTGCATTGGAAAATGGCTCCAAGTGACATCGTTGGTTTATATGTTTCGTGGCACCGGTAATTTCCGTTACGCCGCCCAGTGCCATTTTTGTGCGAAAACGCGCTGTCAATACTTGTCGTGTGCCTGCGACGCGGTGAATCGGTGATCACTAATTCTAGTTTGTGAGGCTTATGTTAATTCATAAGCACAGCGTTCCTGGTCTTACACTGTGGGCCAGTCTCGGTATTTATTTGTCCGCTCTAGTTTGTTGCGTACCGGCGTCGTGTCGTCTGCATAATATGGTTAAGTCTGGGTCATAGTCGGCAGGCAATTGCGGCGAAAACGTGAATGGGACGTGCCTTTGACGTTGCAGCAGAGAGTTCTGATCATTTGTGTTTGATGTAAATTTGAACCGCAGAAAAGCCGTAAGCTAACTCACTTCACGGAAAACCCAATACCGGAATAATAATTTGTGGTGCTCCATGCGCTGTGGCCATTTAGCAGCAGTGTTACGCCCTGGCCAGTCGAGCAGCGGTGCCGGTGGTGACGGTGCCAGCCTCTTCCAGACTCACGACGCCCTCCTGGTGAGGTCAGCCACGAAGGTCACGGCGGAGATCATCGAGGCGTCGCCAGGACTGAAGCTGATTGGTCGCGCCGGCACCGGTGTCGACAACATTGACGTCGATGCAGCCACCCGCCACGGCGTACTAGTCATGAAGTAAGTTTGACGTCATGGAGCGGGACAAAATTCCCGGATGACGCTGAAGCTCCCGTCCTTCGGCGAATCAGAATTCAGAAAGTCCAGAGTTGCATGAGAGCAATTCGATGGCTTACGCGCCCATGTGATTTCAAATTTTGTTCCACGTTGGTCTTGATTGTTTTCGGCAATGCTGGTGTTCTCCAAAATTACAGTATAACTGCTGCCGTTGGTAGGCCAACTGTTTGGTAATTTGTCTGCAGTCTGAGTTGTCCTGGCGAGTGGTTGATTGTTCTTAAATGGTTATGATTTTGGTGAATCACCTTGCGATGCGACCGTATCCACATGTTTTACTTCATGTGAGAACTCTGCGTCCCGGAGTCATTGGCGCCCATTCCAGCTGTGTCCTAGGCTAGTAATCATAGGAGATAATTTAATAAACCCCGGCCCCTCACCAGACTCCCAGGCTTTAAGCATTTCCAGCCCATAAGCCGGCCAGCTACTGCCCTAATGCTGGCCGTAACTGCGGCCTTCTGGGAGCCTGCTGGTCTGGACTCGCGTCCTCTGGCTGAATGTAACCCTGGCTATGACAGTGAATTGAAAAAATAGCCAAAGCCAAAGTGACCCGAAGAGGCCAATGCTGCACGCAGTGCAAAGCTGGGGGCCGGCTCGGCTCTCCATGGCCTCCATCATTTCTCGGGCTGCATTTTTTGCGTGCCTGCTAGGGACTTTTACACCCGGATTTTCTGTTCAGTAGCTCTGTGCTGCTGGTTGTTTCGCGAGTGCTCACTCGTGAGTAAGCATGCCATGGTTGTTTCCTATTCGCAGCACGCCGGGAGGGAACACACTCAGTGCCGCTGAGCACACGTGCGTCATGATCGCCTCGCTTAGCAGAAATCTGCCGGCGGCCTGCGCCTCGCTGAAGGCAGGGAAGTGGGAAAGGTCAGTGACACCTTTTGACGCCCCAGAAAGCCTCCGCGTTGTTGGCTCCAGTTGCGTTGTAGCATATGAAAAGCCCTTTAATCGGCATGCTCTTCTCGCAACTTTAAGAATTTGACAACCATTCACACGGGCTACGCTTGGCCGCCAGCCGCCCAAAGTCTATTTCATTGGCTCCCGGTGTAGTTTCCTGCCTGCACAACACGTTCTGTCGCTTGCTATTAACCTGTCTTTGTCGGCAGGAGCAAGTTCATGGGCTCCGAGATGTACGGCAAGACGCTGGCCGTGCTGGGGCTGGGCAGGATCGGCCGCGAGGTGGCGCAGCGCATGCGCGCATTCGGCATGCGGGTACGTGCAGCGGTCACTCGCCCGGAGTGGCGCCTGTGGCTGGCATTCAGAGCCGTGCTTGGGAATGCTTGGCAATGGCGCGTGTTTGGTATGGATTTTTGCAGCTGCGTGCGGCAACGTGTTGTTGGATTGCCAACCATGGCAAGCTACAGCACCTTTGGTTCCGTTTTCCGGTTGGACAGGAAATGACTGCAGTTGAGAGGGATGCGACAGAAAGGCGGGGATCTCCGTGGGGTTCCGTTCTCCGCATGCCGATCCGTTGTCTGCAGGTCATCGGCTTCGACCCGATGGTGTCTGCTGAGGCCGCTCAGGAGTTCCACGTGGAGAAGCGGGAGCTGGACGAGATTTGGCCAGAGGCGGACTATATCACCGTCCACACTCCACTCATCCCCCAGACCAAAAGTGAGTGACGCATGCCACGTGCTGCAAGAAATTACACGAAAAATGGAGGTTATATACGGTACTATCTTAGCACGCCGTAAGGAGGTATCGACTGCCACGCTAGTTTTCTGTGAGATAAAAGACGTACTTGGTTCGCAGCGATGCTGGATATCGTTCATAGGCTACTAACCATCAATGTATGATAGCGCGTCACATATCGTGTAAAATTTGTCGGGCTCCATGTGCCTGCGACTCCGTCCTGACATTCCGCACAACCAGAGTACGTGTCCAAGTGATCAGTCCTCTTGGCCGCTCCATGGCTTCTACCCTGCGCCAGCCTAACGCCCGTCCTCGTCGCCAGACCTGACCAACACCCGTCCTCGTCGCCAGACCTGACCAACACCCGTCCTCGTCGCCAGACCTGACCAACACCCGTCCTCGTCGCCAGACCTGACCAACACCCGTCCTCGTCGCCAAACCTGACCAACACCCGTCCTCGTCGCCAGACCTGATCAACGCCGACGCGCTCTCGCGGTGCAAGCATGGCGTGCGAATCATAAATGTGGCGCGCGGCGGCATCGTGGACGAGGCGGCACTGTTGAATGCGCTCAAGACTGGCCGGTGCGGTGGCGCCGGCCTCGACGTGTTCGCCGAGGAGCCGCCGACCAATCTGGCGCTGGTGCAGCACCCAGCCACCATCTGCACACCCCATCTGGGCGCCAACACGCGCGAGGCCCAGCAGCGCGTGGCTCGTGAGCTGGCCGAACAGGTTGCCAGCGCCGCCCAGGTGAGTGCGCAGGAAGGGTGAGAGCGGGAGCGAAAGAGTGAGCTGCGTCGCCGCTGGTGAGTTTAGTCGTTTCGGTTGAAGGCTCTCACCGTCCCGTCAGCCTGTTAGGAAATTTCGGTCAGTGTGAAAGCATGTAGGCTGAAAAGCCCTGAAGCCTCGTGATATGCGAGCCTAGTCGATCACGTCGGCCGTCGCTGAGCTCCGGTTCGGAGCCCCGAATGCCCCGTTTGACTGTGCTTGTGGTGTGGCCGCTGAGAGGCGTCCTGGCCTTTTCAGTTGGCCACTTCACCCGACTGGGTTTCGGCCCTGCCGATAGGCGGCGTGCACACCGGTCTGGCGAGCCTCTCGCCCCCACTGTGTCTCTGTTTGCCGGCAGAGCGGCACGCTGGTCGGTCTGGTGAACGCGCCGAACCTGAACGACGCTATGCGGTTCGCCAGCCGTCCTTGGCTCTGGCTGAGTCGGGCGCTGGGAACTGTGGCCGGCATGCTGGCTGGCGTCGGCTCTGGCAAGCCGTTCGAGCTGCAGCTCACGCTTAATGGTGCGTCTATCCACTAGCGTCCACTTGTGTGGTACGAGCTGTCCTTCACCGCAACGCCCCGTGACAACAGCCGTTATCAGCCCTGCCGGCTCGCTCTGCGGAGCCGGGGTGGGGGCTGCCCACATGGGGAAGAATGACTGAGCATTCTGTTTTGCTTTGTCGCTGGGCAGTGCATAGAGCGCCCGTCGTGCAGCGCCCGGCGACGCTTTTTTTACTGGGTGGCCTGTACTGGGTGGCCTGTACGCGCGGCCGCTACCATCGCTTCGAGGCGGACCTCCTCAGATGTGCACAGCCTTGTCCAGCGGGGTGCGCCTGTCCAGACGTCGTTGTTCTGTCTGGCACGGGTGAGCCCGTGTCGCCAGGTCCGGACATGGACGCCATGCAGTCGTTCCTCATCTCCTCCGTGCTGGTCGGCCTGATGGCCGGCATGACTCCCAACGGCGTCAACCTGATCAACGCGCCGATGCTGGCGCACGAGGCCGGCATCCGGGTGTCTGTGACACGCGACAGCGCCGCGACGCCGGCACACACCATCGGTGTTCGGATTACGCTGGATGGCCAGGAGCACTCCGTGGTCGGTGAGCATCTCGTCGGGTCCGCGGGCGCGCCCTCCCACCTGCCACGAGCGGCCAGCTCCTGGCCGTCTTGTGCTCGGTGTTCCTGGCTGGGCTGCTGGGCTAGGGGGCGCGCTGGACCTGGCGCCGGTACGGTCGTCTTGCGGTTCGTGTGAATGACCGTGCGAGCGCAGGTGCAGCGAACCAAGAGTCCGGTCGGGAGGTGTCGTGAGGTCTCTCGTGAGGTCTCTCGTGAGGTCATGAGGCCGACAGATGCGGTTCAGTCGTGGTAGGTATACTAGAGCGCAGGTGCGGTCGTAACGACCGTGGACAGGCGTAGTGCACTGCTGCCTGGTGCGGATGCAGTAGTGAGGCCTGTCTTTGTTTGGAAGGAGCGGTGCAGTGCAGTGCAGTCCGGGTGCAGTCCCGGTTGACGCCTCCTGTGGTCGGCAGGCGAGTTACAGGGTGAACAGTCGGTCCTGGTGCAGCTGGACAGGGCCAGGTTCGAGTCTGGCGTCACTCTTGGCGGCAACGTGCTCTTCTTCAAGTCTGACGGCAGCGGCGACGCGCTCATGCCGATAATTAGTGAGTCTTGGCTGATCGAGCCGAGCAGTGGGACGAGCACCGCACAAACCAGCGGGACCGTGGGCTCGCCTGGCACGATTTGATTGGGCGGCATCTCTTTGGAAGCCACTGACTTCACCGCGAGCGTACTGCCTTTTACTGGCCGACGTGTTCGTGGCTCATGCTGGCTGTATGTCGGATGTATGTAACTGCACATTTGGCCGCGTTGGCATGGGTGTGATTGTCTCTTCCTGCTGACGCATGTCCTTTCAGCGGCTTTGGTGTCGGCGCGCGCCGAACTGCTGACGGTGATGGCCTCGGGGCCGGAGGACACTACCCCGCTGATCGCCGTGCGCACGTTGGATCCGGTGCACGCTCCCGAGAAACTCCCAACATCGCACGCCAAGTTCCTCCTGCAGACCTACTTCTAGCCGCCGCCGCCGCCGTTGCCGTGTGCATCAGTCACATCGCGCGTCACCTGAGTGGCGACAGTGCACCACAACGCCCAGTTTCTACACGGGCGTCAGGCGGGCGTTCGGAGCGTAGGTCCGATGTGATAGGTTTTACGCCTAATCTCGCGAAGGCTCGCGCATCGAGGCATGATTGATGCGTTTCAATCCAGTGACGCCATGTTTTAGCGCGACCTTGACGACCAGTGAGATGATCATCTGTACATATGTACCGTCATGTTGCTCAGTATTAGGCGCCCCAGGCCGCTGGCGCCCGCGTGCCGTAACTGTATCGACGCGTGTATATATTCACAGGGCGCCGCTGCCGTGCGCATGAGTCAGGGAGCTGCTGGCGCCCGCGTGCCGTAACTGTATCGACGCGTGTATATATTCACGGGGCGCCGCTGCCGTGTGCGTGCGTCAGAGAGCTGCTGGCGCCCGTGCCGTAACTGTATCGACGCGTGTATATATTCACAGGGCGCCGCTGCCGTGTGCACGCGTCAGAGAGCTGCTGGCTCCCGCGTGCCGTAACTGTATCGACGCGTGTATATATTCACGGGGCGCCGCTGCCGTGTGCGTGCGTCAGAGAGCTGCTGGCGCCCGTGTCGTAACTGTATCGACGCGTGTGTATATTCACAGGGCGCCGCTGCCGTGTGCATGCGTCAGAGAGCTGCTGGAAGACACGCTGTTTTACACGTAAAATAAATGGGCCCACGGGCCCCACTTTTACCACATGATTTTCGCGCACCTGACCGACGGGAAAGAGCAGCGGTACCCGCCGGGCAGTGCCGGATGTCCCACACGGCACGCACGCGCAGGGTCGCACGCAGCTGGAAGCAGGTGGGGAAAATGCGATGGTAACAAGCCGTGACGCACCCGCCAGTGTCGTCCCAGCCGGGGCAACTAAACCGTCTCAGAACACTACAAAGCCGGCGGAAAATCGCGGCAAGCAAACGCTTCACTTCTTCCCCAATAGGGCATGTCCGCAAACACCTTGTACATCATTGTTTAGTCCTCAAACTCACGTCACGCAGTCATTACAAAACAAATCAAGCCGCGGCCAGCCCGAGCAGCGAGCAAGCATTCGTAGAACCGATCGATAGACCCATCGATGGACGTAACAGGCAGAGGTGACAGGCACCCGAGGCCTGTCCTCGGCAAGGAGCTGGCAGACCGCTGGACCCACGCTGTTCACCAGTCGCACCCGTCTGGTGAACGCGCGCGTGCGCATTGGCCCGGAGATGCGACTGGCAGAGGGCAGGCCGAGCAAGACAGGGCGCGTAAAGACCCGCTGTCGCCAGTGGCAGGATGGGTGACAGGAGACAGCTAGATCCCCGGTCACTTGTGGCCGGACGCACTCTAGATCCCCGGTCACGTGTGGTGGGGTGCGGCCACCACCGGCCGCACGATCTACTTGTACAGTCGCTGGATGGCGTCCTTGTAGTAGTTGCTGAGCTCTTTCCGCTTGAGTTTGTAGGCGGCCGTGACCAGGTGGTTGTCCGGCGTCCAGGCCACGCTGGTCAGACCAACGCGGGCCGGGATCTCAGTCTTCTCCAGCCGACCTGGCGCCAGGAAGGTCCGGTCGGGTTAGATACAGGTCAGAGGTCAGGGGTTATGTGTGACAGGTGTTAGCGGCCAGGTAAGATATGGGCCAGAGGTCAGGGATCAGATCAGACAAAGGTCAGGGGTCAGTGGTTAGGTCCGACAGGGGTTAATGGGCGGGCCAGACAGACATCAGGGGTCAGAGTAGATACGGTACAGAGGTCAGGGATCAGGTCAGACAGAGATCAGGGGTCAGAGCACACATCAGTCGGTCCGGCACGGCGCGACTGACCGGCGCGCGCGGTCACCGCCCACCTGGGCGGTGCTACTGTCAGCGTCACACCCCTTACCTGAACGGATCAATTTAAGCAGGGCACGGCCAGATATTTCAGGGGAGTGTCACTAACACAGGCAGTCAGTGATGTCAAGCTTAAGTTGGGATGCAATCAACGCCGGACTTCATCATAACCAAGCTAACCAAGCTTACTATGTTGACTGTTTTGCATAAATACCCAGTCAATGTGTGCCCAATGGCTTTGCTTTCAATGTATGCATTGACACTGACAATGGATATTCCTCCTCTTCTCTCAGTTTCAATGAGACTGGGTCAAAAACTTATGACCACAATTTTTTTTTACAATTCCAGGAAGACATACTACTGTGAAATTAAATGCAACAAAAAGAACATACAACTTAGTAGAACACACCAGTACCTTCCCTGCATAGGATGTTAAAATAGCATCAAGTCGTCTTTTACGTTGCTACTCTTCTTCATTTCGAAAGACAGATGCAGCACGAAATTAAATAGAGTTTTCCAGGTCTTGCTGTCCCTTCCCATTGTTTACATGCAACCACTGCACACCATTGAAAAACAGGCTTGCCTCCTCAGTCTTCAGAAATGCCTAGCAAAACGACGACTTTAGTCAATTCCCATTTTAATGTTTATTCGGTAATGCAAGAAGCACATGCCCATCTTTTGGCACATGGATAGTTCAGAGGTGGAGTTATTCATCAGTCTACACCAACCATAACCAGTTAAAATAGCCAGACCGGTCTGGACCACTAGCAAGGCCTACCGTTGGTAGACGACGACATTTTGCCAGCCCTGAGTACAGTGAGCCGGCCGGGTACTCTTCCGGCCATGTAACGTGGTGGGCTGGCAGGCCAACTCACCGTGCCTGGCATGCTTGGCCAGCCTCTTCTGTACCTCCTCCTCCAGCTGCTCCATCTCACAGAGCTCCTCGTAGCTCCTGCCGACAGCGTTGCCACCCAGCACCTCCTTGGCCAGCATGCTGAGCTGCTTAGCGTTGGCCAGCACGATGGCGATGACGAAGTTCTTGGAGGATTCGCCGTACACGAACATGTTGTCCACCAGCGGGCTGGTGCTCAGGATCGACTCGACGCGGCCCAGCGAGACGTACTCGCCGGCCTGCAGCTTCACCAGGTCCTTCTTGCGGTCTGCGGCACGGCAGCGCCGCCCGGCGGCACACGTCTCGGATGTCGGGCGGCACGGTGGGACGGAGGCAGTGGGCGCGTGCGCGTTGGTGAAAACGAAAACCAGACAATAAACGATGGATTGACACGAAAGGTCACAAAAAGTCGGGCTACTCTGAGCTTTTCGTATCCGACTAATAGCACACAGAGCAGACAGAGCGGCATTTCACACGTCAGGTGAGATCACCGCCAGGCGGGACTGTGACCCTCGACATTACCACAGACGCGCAGGCGTTCCCCTTGAGCACCACAGGTCGGCGTCCAGCGTGGCTCACCGATGATCTTGAGGGTGCCGTTGGGGTAGAACATGCCAATGTCGCCGGTACGGAACCAGCGGCGGCCGTCGGCCTCGCTGAATTCCTCGGCCGTCTTCTCCGGCTGCTCGAAGTAGCCCATGGTAACGTTGTCGCCGCCTGCAGCGGATGGCAGACGGCGTGGTGAGGCGGTGGCGCCGCTTGGCTGCCGCCCGCGCCGCCCGCGGCGACCAGCCAGGACCCGGGGCAGGCAGCAGGACGACAGAGCAGACCGATTGGACGGCGGTGAGCACGCGACGTCAGACAGGCGCCGCCGAACGCAATCGTGCCAGAACACCCGCACAGGACAGTGCCAAAACACCCGCAAGTGACAACGCCTCGCACGACTGATCTAGGTCGTCGACAAGGTGAGACGCGCAGGACAGCGGACTCGCCGCCCATGCGGCCGGGGGCCGGTGTGGGCCGGCGCGCGGCGCCCTCACCGATGACGATCTCCCCGCGCGGGTGCGGCTCGTCGCGCACCCGGTAGCCACCCTCCTCCCAGTCGATGAGCCGGATGTCGCAGCAGCTGACCGGGTGGCCCACGCGGCCCACGGCCACGTCGAACTCTGCGCGCAGGCGATCGGGCACGGTCAGGCCGCCGGTCGGTGCCGGTGGCCAGCAGGAGGTCCACCCCGAAAGCCCAGATGGTAGCTAAGATTACGAAGCCACCGACGGCCTGCGACCAGCTGTCGATGAAGCCGCTCAACTCACTCGACAATGGACAGTCCACTTGTCACCCTTGGGCGTTCAAAAACGCGTCCCCAGACATGCCATTTGAAATAACAGAAAGGGCGACTGGCTGTCTAAAAACAATGGGTGACTGAGCCTATGACTGTCAAAACAGGTGAGTGCAACAAACTGCGGACCGTTTTACGTGTTCAGCGGCGCACTTGCGCTATGGAAGCTCCATCACAGCAAACACGATCAAAGACACCAGATCGCCACCCAAAAACATCGACTACACGAACTTCCGCCCTCACAGAACAGGCCACTGGGGACAGCTGGCCGACAAGTCTGTTCTTACGGACTTGTTCAAGAAGGAAGCCAGATCCCAAGAAGTAACCGGTATTCGACACCGGCGCTGCACACGACCGTCTGGCGTTCTGTACTCCTGCTCACTGGTCTGCCGTCCTGCCAGGCCGCCGCAGCAGCAGCGGAGTCGGCCCGAAGCACTCACCGTCCATCAGCGTGGCGCACGAGGTGGTCTCGGTGAGGCCGTACCCCTGCATGACGCTGGCGCCCATACAGGAGCGGATGAGGTCGTGAGTGACCTCGGAGAGCGGGGCACCGCCCGATACCATGGCCCGGACGCGGCCGCCCAGTAGCGCGGCGATCCGACTGAAGAGCAGCCTGGAGCGGGGGCGGGGTCCGGACTGAGAGCGGCGCGGCGCGGAGGGGGGCCCGGGCGCCGACGGGGCCCCGCCGCGACGCCAAAACACAAGCAAGAGCCTCACATCTCCACCATCTCACGACCCCCTCTAGTTCACAAGAGCCTCACATCTCCGCCATCTCACGACCCCCTCTGGTAGACAAAACAGAAGCTATCGGGACGCTACGTCCGCTGCTCAGGTATGTTCATCGGTGCTCAAATTAACGACAGCAGTGCTCCCTGACTGTCAGCTGACTGTGGGCAGTGCTGTCTAGGCAGACGGTGAAGACCGGGCCGCTGTCACCCACGGACGAGCGGGCGCCCAACTGACCGGTGCAGGATGGGTGTGGAGAAGCCGCGCCTCCGCCACCTGCTGCGATACTGTACAGCCCAGTGGAACAGGGCCTGCACAACCCGGCCCGAGGCGTGCATCTGCTCCTTGATGCCCTGCAAACAAACAGGCGGCAGCCAACCGTCAGTCAACCAGGCCGACGTCGCCCTGAACGGGTCGCTCCACCGTCGTCACTAGTGGGCGGGTCCAACGTCGCTGGGCGGCCGGTTCCACTGTCTTCCGGTGGCCTGGTAAATGGCTCGCTCTCGCCCTCCCTAAACGCAGCCATCTCCCGAAGTGCTCGGGCCCACGGCCTCTTGGAGCTCGTCGAGAGCAGCGAGTGCCCCTCTCTCACCTGCGCCACGCGGTCCAGAATCATGGGCACGGCGGCGATGAGCGTAGGCCGCAGCACCGAACAGTCGCCCCGGCAGCCGCGCTTCACCTTGCTCGATTTGTCCATCAGCGTCAGCGGCGAACTGTAGCCGATCGGCACGCCGAACATGACGGCGCACATCTCTGCCACACAGAGGCGCCGGGACGGTCAGAGGCGCCGGCTGCACGAGGCGCCGGTACGGTCAGGGGCGCCGGCCACACGGAAGGCGCCGGGACGGTCAGGGGCGCCGGCCACACGGAAGGCGCCGGGACGGTCAGGGGCGCCGGCCACACGGAAGGCGCCGGGACGGTCAGGGGCGCCGGCCGCACGAGGCGCGGGGACGGTCAGGGGCGCTGGCCGCACGGAAGGCGCCGGGACGGTCAGGGGCGCCGGCCGCACGAGGCAGGCACGGGAACGGTGTCAAAGCAGACAAGGTCTACCGAGCTGTCCAGCCAGAACACAAGTGGAAATGAACAAAACGTCGTTCCCTCTCGCCACGGATGGAGATCATCCGACTCAGGTTGCATGTGTACACGTCAGCTTCCGCGAGGGCCAAATGTGTCTCTGCCATAGCATCAGTGGTGCCCGTTGCCTGCCGGCCGCTGACGGAGCCCGCCCGAGGTCACCAGAGGTCGCCCCACTAGCCTGCCATCAGCTCCAGCACGTGCGCCAGCGGCAGGTAGCCGATGTAGACGTCCTCTGGAGTGATGTCGATGGCCACGGCGAACCCGGTCATGGTGGAGACCATGTTGTAGTGGGACACCATCACCCCCTTAGGCGTGCCCGTCGAGCCCGACGTATACCTGAGAGGACGGCGCCGGGGCGGTCACGTGGGCGGTCACGTGGGCGGTGCCGGAGGCGGTCACATGGGCGCCGATCCAAACACTTCCAGGCGTGGGGCTTGGGTCGCACAGCATCTAGCGCATACGCCACGTGACGTAACGTGACGCTACTGTCACGATCCATCGCCATCGGACGGACGGCGCTCACAAGCCCATCGCTTACATGATGATGGCGATGTCTTCGCTGGTGGGAGGATGGCTCTCCAGTGTCGACTGTTCGCCCTCCTTCAGCATGCGGGAGAACGGGATCATCTCGACACCCTTGGTGGCGGATGTGTCCGTTTTCTCTAACTGAAACCAGTGGATGTGCCATTGTTACGTCCATGCGTCGGAAATTACCGGCCAGGGTACGACGGACGGAGCGAGAACAAGGCGTCCAGTACGTGACGCTCGACATGCCAACAGCCAAGCGCAGCGTAGGTGCGCCAGTCCGCTAAAGCTGCCCGTCTCAAGTTGCAAAGAATGCCAGTAATAACCCGGTCCGGCACCCTGTGGTTTTACTGGCCCCGTCATGCGTACACACAAGGTCACGGATCAACGTTTAACAAAACTGGGCGCGTCGCTGACCTGGTCCTCCATGTAGATGACGTGAGTGACCTTGTCGCAGCCCGCCAGCACGGACTGCAGCTTCTTGCACAGCACGTGTGACGTGATGACGTGCGTCACCTTCGTCTCGTTGATTCCGTGGGCTACGGCGTCTTCGCTCAGCGTGGCGTACAGCGTCACCACTGGAACGGCGCCGGGACGCGTCGGGGTCCCTCCGAGCCGGCGCCTGGCCTTACGCCGCCTCACATGTGTCACTCCCACACTTGTGTCCCAAACACGGTCAGCCGGTTACCTTCGGAAGCTTGTGGCACGTGTGGCAAAATGATACACATCACAGCGAGCGTTTGTTTGCGATGGTATAAAAACTCAGGCGGGGGCAGCCCATCAAGCATTTTTCTGATCGTGAAAGTATTCGTGCTGTCGCTGTCCGATCAGGGTCCGGCGAGGTCGCAGCCATTTCAGACTGGACCAGCTCAATGATGTCAGACCACTGCTCTGGCGAGTTTGGGATTAACAGGTTTTCACTGGAGGTGCGCATGCAGGGAGAAATGACCGCGTGCATCGCGAAGCGGACCAACAGTGATCCAACGAAACTAAAGCAAGCTTCAAAGCTCCAAAGTGTTGTATTTGTTTCCTTACTTCGCCAGGAAGCCACCTACAGACATTCAACTGTCAACTCCGGAAGCACTTCCCCGTTCGCAGCGTGACGCTGCAGATGGAAGGAAATATTTCGCACGGTCTTGGTAACGAGTGAGTATTACATCCTTGGGCGAATTCTGACCTCCTGAACCGAAGGCTGTATGCATTGTGGGAACGCTCCGGCCCCTCCGGAACGTAATACTGGCAGCTGGGCGACTCAAATATTTGGATACTTCCCTGACTTCTGAGCATTCGAATATACGCAAATACCCAGACGCATTTTCAACCATTTCGAATTCAAGACTCAGCTCTAGCAGCTCTAGCTCTCCGGACTGTGGAACCCCGGGCCGCTCCGGCCCCTCTAGACTGCGGGGTCCCAGGACCGCTCCAGACTGCGGGATCCCGGGCCGCTCAGGCCCCTCTAGACTGCGGGGTCCCAGGACCGCTCCAGACTGCGGGATCCCGGGCCGCTCCGGCCCCTCTAGACTGCGGGGTCCCAGGACCGCTCCAGACTGCGGGATCCCGGGCCCGCTCCGGTCCCTCCAGACTGCGGGACCCCGGGCTGCCCCGGTGACCCCATCCAGTCGGCTGTTCCCGGCTCTCGGCGGCGGCGCTCACCGGTGATGTTCTGTGTGAAGGCGCCGACGGCGGCCACCAGCCACTCCGAGCGCGTCTCGGCGAAGACGACCACTCGGCCGCCGGAAGGCACGCCCCGCTCGCAGAGCGCCCGGCCGAAACATTCGGCCAGCTGTACAAACTCCACATAGCTCGTCCACTTGTAGTCGCCCAGGAGGAACTGCCGGATAGGCCAGGCCAGGCCAGGCCAGGCCAGGTCAGGTCAGGTCAGGTCAGGCGGGTGGACCTGACCCGGACCAGAGAATACAGCGTTCTGGGCTGGGTCATGACAGCCTGTGGCCTGAGCGCTGTAAGTCGGAGCCGGCCAATATGCAGAACAATGTTGCCAGTAACTAACTACATCGGGAACAGCTGCACGTGCACCACGTAATACAAGCAGCAACCCTAACACCAACGCTCTTGTTCGTTGAGATAAAAAAGAAGAAGTTAAAACTAAAGGAGTCTGATTACTGGATGCACAACCTCACAGATAAGCTGAGAGGCATCCGGGAAATACATCAAACCAAGGCACGCCAGGCTGCGCAGGGCTGTTGCGACAAATTTAACCGAAGACCATGAGAACTAAGTTTGTACGTGCACTTCAAAAGGAATGCAAGATTAGCATACGTAGGCTCCTCTGCAACGCTACGGGGCCGGCTAATTCATACCACATGTAAGATAAACTCGCACCGCGCGATGGCCTAGTTTAAATGTGATTACCACACCTGGCTGATAAGCAAAATACGCTCACTGTAAGCAGTACGCTTATCAGAAACATATTTCATACTATCGAATGGTCACATACCATCCAGTTTCGGCACATATACAGCTTGATTGCAAGGAGCGATCTCATCCATGATACCGCAGGCACTTCCTTCCCAAGGAAGGGTATAGTCGACCCTCCTTAATCCGACGCAGAGCGGCATTTCCGACCCCAGCGAGCCCCTTCCTTCCGCCAGCACGGTCCGGTGCGGCACAGGCCCGGTGCAGACGCCCCTCCCCGTCCGCGCGCCACCAGCGCCATCTACCTCACACCGCACGGGGGGGGAATAGTGTCGCAGCCCCGCCGACGGAGCTGCCGTCCGCGGGGAAGCTCGGGTTAGCTGCTCTCCACCGGCGCCAGCGGAGCTGCCGTCCGCGGGGAGGTTCGAGTTAGCTGCTCTCCGCCGGTGCCGGCGGAGCTGCCGTCCGCGGGGAGGCTCGAGTTAGCTGCTCTCCGCCGGCGCCGGCGCCGCCCTCCGCACGGCCACCGGCTGACCCTTATTGGAGATCCCCCATCACCACGGCCGGCGAACAGCCCTGAGACCACGCCGCGGCGCTGCTAACGGTCTGGTCCGGCTGGCTCTGAGCCTCATCGGCCCGTTCGGGTCATGCACGGCCCGCAGGACCGCGACAGCGACCGACAGGTGGACACTGTCCGGCCCACCTGCCAGCCAGACTCCCTGCGAGTGTCCCCCATGTTGTCGACGCAGCACTGGCCTCCGGCAGCGTTGAATGACGGCCTGTGTTCGGGTCGGCGGGTCCCTCGGGGCCAACCGAACGACACTGGGACACGGCGTGGTGGTGGAGCCAAGCAGACGACACTGGGACACGGCGTGGCGGTGAAGCCGAGCAGACGACACCGGGACACGTCGTGGTGGTGAAGCCAAGCAGACGACACTGGGACACGGCGTGGTGGTGAAGCAAAGCAGACGACACTGGGACACGGCGTGGTCCAGGCCGCCAGAGTCTTCGGAGTCTTTCACGGCGTACTGCCGACTGTCTATAGCCCAGTCACGTGCAGCAGGCAAGGACAGTACTTATTATGTGGTGGCCTGCGCGTTTGGTAGGACGCGAGAGTGGGCGAAGGCAATCATTGAAGGCGTGGGGACATTGAAGCTAGCGAAACAAATTTTGTTCCAAAGATCTTGTTGGCAGCTGTGACATATCCTTTCAATTCGTCACACAAATCACTTCTCAATCCCACAGGAAGATGTCCAACATTACTTTCCCGGAGATATCCCATTCATCTAAGCCACAAAACGACTGGGCAGACACGACACACACACAGAGTCAACTGGACACACAGGGCGTCCAGTTGACTCAGGCCGGTCGGCGACGGCGGCCGGCGGTTTCGTCGCGCCCTGTCCGCCAGCGGACGGGCCACAGGAAATCACCAATCCCGGCCGACTCACGCCCGCCCGACTGGCCGGCACCAGGGACGGCGCGAGCCTGGCGCACGAGGTTGGAGGGATGGGATGTCCGGTCAGGTCAATGCCCGGCCGTCTCACGCCCGCCCGACTGGCCGGCACCAGGGACGGCGCGAGCCTGGCGCACGAGGTTGGAAGGATGGGATGTCCGGTCAGGTGGGGCGCACCTTTTTAAAGACTTTGCCGCTCGGCTGCTGCTCGTTCTCCTCGGAGAGGACCTGGCGCGTGCCGAAGCCCGGCTTGTCGCCGTGCTGCTTCACGGCGTAGCGCACCACCTGCCGACAGCGGCGTCACGCGTCACCCACAGGTCGGGGCGCGCTGCCCGGACCCGACCGCCCACGCGCTCACGTGCAGCACAGCCTGGCAGCGACGACACCGGGCGGCGATTGGTGGGCCGTCGCGACATTAGCAACAATAGCCACCTCGAAGACCATGCTCGGCGATCGAGACCACGACCGGCGACAATAGCTGAAGAGCGGGGTGAGGGTGCCAAGCCGCCAGTGAAAACCAAGAGGCCACAGGAAGCGGCCCACCGGCCTGGAGCAAAGCACTTGACCGAGGCCGTCGCACAGCCAGAGCGAACATCGTACATGTTAACGAAAGGTAGCTCGATAAAACACACATTAACGCACGTGGCGACCGACATTGGTGGCCTTGTGGGAGCGCCCCAGCGATTAGCGCTCCGCCGGGTGACACCGGTGCACCACTGCCACCGCACAGTGGCACCACCGGCCACATGTAACGGACTGAACGCCGTTCACGGCGGCCGGGGTCACCCGAATGGTAGCTCAACTGACGACCGACAGCGTGCCCACGCCTATGCTCTTCATCAACCCCGGCGGCGACTTCAAAGTACCGACAGCCACGCACCCAGACCGGACTTAGGGGACACCGGACAAGACTCTGGCACTGACGGTTCAGATAGCGTGAGGGAGTGGGGGCCGATCCAGATCTGAAGTCCACGCGGCATACGGGGAGTGCCTGCGTAACCCCCGCTTCCGTAGCACCCGCGGACGGTGCCAAAACGGCCGGAGGCGAGGGCGGGCGCGCGCGCCCCGGAGTGCGGGACGTCACCTTCTCCACGGTGTCCAGTCCCAGCCGCTTCATCGTCAGCTGGAAGTCGGTTGGCGGATCGTAGTTGCGGTAGCGGCCCGGCTCCGACGGCACCTGCCTGGCCTGTAACGGGAGGCAGGCCCGCAGAGTAACGGGGTCAGACGTCAGCGGGCGTACCCCCACCCGCGGCGACAGATGGCGCCGGCGCCGCACCCCCGACCGCATCCCACAGCTGCCGGCCGAGGAGAGCACCTGCTGCGGCACGGGAGGTCTGCCCCGTGCGGCCCGCGCTGATCTCCACACGTGACAAGGGAGTTGTGCACTAATTACGAGCGTTTTTGGTGGCGCCAGGTGCTCGAAACGGTGCTGCGTACCGGACGGCCGACTTCCCGCGCTGGGGAGCGTGGTGTGTGAAAACGGCGCCGAACGGGTAAGCGTCTTCTCAGAACGCCCCCATCCCCGTTTGGGGGAAAACGGCACGGGTCACAAACGGCCTGTGAGTAGCACTTTTCCAAGATATCTTCAACATCATACCGATCTCTTTTTAGCCGGTCCTAGATCTTATGTGGCCTCCCTCATTGATCGTATGAGTGGCGTCTATCTTATCGACGCATGCACTCGGCGCCTCATATCGTTCTCAGACTACTGACCAGATCAACAGGCGCCCAGAGATTGCCAATCAAACAAACTCCGTGCGGTAAGGGCAGCCGCCGGAAAGCCGCGGGTGCGGGGGACGCCAGAGTCACGCGCCGCACGAGGTGGACGGACGGCCGCCTGTGCTGATCCGCCGACCCCGCCGGCCGAGCGACCTCGGGACGCCCTAGCCGACAGTGGCGCCTTTTGCCGCCGGCTCCAGCGGCGCGCCTCTGCAGCCTGAGCCGCTGGTGACCGGTGTCCGAGGTCAGCCGAGGTCCGAGATCCGTCCGGCCGACGCTCGTGTCCGGCGAGAGGCCTCGCTATCGGCTACCCGGCCCACTCGGCACATCTCCGGCAGCCAATATCAACACGTGATCAAAATGGGCTTATACTAAGCTCTCTCTTCGCCACCGCGGCCTTCTGCCGGGGAGTGGGTGCCTGATACCAACTGAAGGCAACTCTGCACAGGACACCACTGGCGGTGGGGGACCATTGACTGACGGCCAGAGACACCGACTGGGCCGAGTCGCGGTCCGAGGACAAGCAAATGAAAAACTGAACCATATGGTGTAATTCAGACCGGTACGCGGCGTCGCGACACTTCTTCGAAGAAGGAAAAAACCGTCCAAGCACGACACCCACGCCGCGTTGTTCGGAAGAGATAAACAGTGCACATAAAATGAGCTCAGGCATTCCCAGGATAACTAGCATACTCAGTGGGCGTTAGTACGAGAGCAGCGAGCGGTGCCCCTTCGGCACTGGAACACACATTACGTCTTACGTCTGTTCTGGCGCCCCATATCCCAAGACACCTGGTGAGCCTCCATCATCAGTCCGCATGGAGTAAATAGACACACGCCAGCTGCCGGAACGCCGCCGCTGCGCACGCGCCTCTGCACGGGAGCGCAGCCCGTAGGAATAGGTCGGTTGCGGAGGGCCGCTCGTCCGGTGATTGCGACACACCTCCGCTCGGACGGGGGGGGGGGGGCCTCCCCGCGTCAGACCCGACGCCGACGAGGGCCGGTCGGCAGAGCCAACGGCACGCGACGCCGCGCGATTACCGACTCTCGCACGGAACGTACCCGAATCTTTTTGGCCTTGCGGATCTGGGTCCACGGCTGCTGGACGAGGCAGTAGATGGGGAAAGTGACGACATCGTACACGAACACCACGCTGGCCACTGCGCCTACCCCGATCGTCGCCAGAACGTCACCAATCATGTCGGCCTGCGGGAAACAGAGCGTGCGGGTTACACACATGCCAGGGCGGCTCACTACAACGCACACCTGGCGCGCGTCACGTCCCGTATGATACATAACACTATGCGACAAGTGTCAATTCCCGGACACCCCGCTGGGGACGTTACATAATGTAAATTGGTGTACTGTTATGATCTTTGCCACAATGCTTTATCCTTTACACGTTATACGTCTTACTCAATGCTTTGTTCCATACCATTTTTTAGTTTAACCATTCCACGACATTGCTGCCGCCCGAAGGTAGAACTCCAAATGTTCTTTTTTGGCCATGTTGCGCTTCTTATGCCATCTGATTCGTCCACTCATGCTGATTTCGGTTATTCAAACAATCAGTTGAGATTTTCACAAGCTTTTAGCCTACTCCTTTCGCTAAAAGCTTGTGAAAATTTCAACCAATGGTTTAAACATCCGAATGCAGCATGAGAAGACAAACCAGATGACATAAAAAAACGCAAAATAGCTATAGGCGAACATATGGAGTTTACCTTTGGACGGCAGATTCCATTCAGAGATCATTTATGGTTGCTTATCTTTAAAAAAAACGGCCATTCGACACCATTCAGCCCCAGACCATCTGAAACGTATCCACCTTTGTAAATAGCCCCGTCGAAGAGGAAAACATGGGACAGCAATTGACTACATGTGATTTAAAACGCATGTGTATACAGCTTGCATCGAGCGCACGGCTGCATCTGACAACCGTGGGCTGGAAATCAGAAAACTGACATGAAACGCGTACGGCAAGTCGGCCGCAACTCATTCGCCTCAGCAGCCGAAAACGGCGCGGTTGCACCCAAAGACGGCGCAGTTCGTTGATGGTCAGCAGAAGGCCGCAGTCCACTGCAAGTCCGAGGCGAGACGCTGAGCATCACAGACTGCTGACCGAGACTGGTATAACATTTCATTTCTTCTGGGGTTTCTACAAATATTTGGATCAAAAAGTCCAACCTTGCAATGTTTGTGTAATCCGGGCTGCAAATGAAATCGATACAGGCCCGGTGACGCGAAGTCGCTGAGCTGCCTGCTGCATTATTTATATCGTTCACTGCCCCAGGAAGTAGAACTATGCAGCACGCTGATGCACTCCCGGATCTCCTACCACTAAAGGAGAGGAATGCCGTAAAACACAACCATATGTGTGTTATGCGGTATTCCGTATAACATCGGTAAATACCGCATAGCTTATAAGGCAATTACACCTATACACACACCTCTGAACACCTGTACAAGAAACACACAACCATAAACTAGCCAATGACAGGCAGCGGGCTAAAACCTTCGAAACGCATTCGCCGAATCGCTGCATGCAGTTTAATGTCCTCCGCAGCAGTTCACCACCGTGACTCAAGGGTCCTAACGTCGTTTCTCGGCTATCCTAAACTACAACACAAAACAAGCCCCGCTGATTTGCGATCAACGCCATCTATTCCCAGCTACCGCACAACCAGCTCAGAGTAAGTTTTTTAGTCAGCCGAGTTAGAGTTAAGCTCTAACTCACTGGCTTTTTGTTGATGGTCCATCCACCGTCACCAGTCCAAAATTACTGCAGCCAGCTGGCAAGAGATACAGTTAACTGTCAGTTCTGAGGTACTACGGCGCGGTCAGTGCTCCTGAGCTACGGGGTATCCTTATCTCTTCTGAGCTACGGCACCGTCAGCACTCCTGAGCTACGGTTTATCCTCAGTTCCCCGAGCTATCGAGCCACCCTCTCTCCTGGACCTGCCTGCCGGCCCTGGACCTGGCACACGTCATGAGCTGCCGCCCGAGCGCCTCACTTCGTCAGGACTCGGAGGGAGCGGGTGTAGACGGCGCGTTACCCCACACGGGGCGTCACCGACGCCAGCTGACCGCTGACACCACGGGACCACCACGAGGGAGGGGGCCCCACCACTGGGCGGACACCCCGGCACTTTCTTGTTCCCGCACCAGCCCATCCGTGTTTTCTGTTGCATGAACAACGGCGAACCAGCAACGAAGTGTTTTCCACTAGACGAAGTGTTTTCGACCCGATTATAACGTCATGTAGGAGACCGCATTTTGATGGAACATTCATGCAGCGAGCGGCGAATCGATCCAAACGATAGCTGCTGTGGTGCTAGCTCTTACATCAACACTTCGGTTGAATTACACGGCTCTCGAATCAACAGACCAATCTGGTTTCCCCTAACTGCACCTAGCTGAAGAGCTCACCATTGGCCCACATACAGTTAGTGATATGAACATCAGGGGCAAACCCATGTGTACGTAAACGCGTGAAGCACAACGGCCCAGTTCATTGTCCTGATAGCAACATTCGGCCAACTTTGACGGTATTTCCTTACAAAGTCACGAGATATTGCAGTCAAAACGTAATTCTCTGCAGGGCCGTGGCAGCGAAAAGCTTTTGAGATAAAAGTTCAGTTCCTTTGGCGGTAACATTTTACGTGCGCATCAATCACTAACCGATCCATAAACCGTATCTAAATGTCCACGCTTGACACTTGGCCTGTTCAGTCTGGATTGCTCTGGCCGGAACCGGTTGCGGCGTCACTCGCTCGTCGAGTACCTACCAGAGCTGGCCAGGTGACACTCGGCACACGTTCACACGTGCTCGATCGGTGATGGCTACCGGCCGACCGCCTCACAAGCACCACGCGCCACCGCCGCACGCGGCCGGCTCTGGTCGCCCGCCGACACCCGTCTGAGACCCACCGCTGCTCTGGTGGTGATGTGCTGGTCCGCGGCCGGCCCTCGCCGCCAGGTGACTGTGACACGCGCCGCCGCCGAGTCTATCCCGCACGGACTGACGGTGACCGGCGCCGTCGGTCGCACGTCGAGTCGCTCCCCCTCCCCTCCCCTCCCCTCCCCTCGGCGTCAGGCGGCCAGAGTACAGGGCGCGAAGGACGGATGGTGCGGCGCCGGTCCAGAGTACAGGGCGGCCCCGCCCCCGATCGCCGTCAATGGGCATTTCCTCCGCGCCGGTCGCCGGCTATTGGCCGCGAGGGCCGCGAGTGTTGGGGTGTGGGTGCTTTGGGCCTGGCTAGGTAGATGATGGGTGGGGGGAGCAGCAGGGGAGGTATGGACTTGAAGCTGAGTGGGTGGAAGAAGGGACCAGCTAAAGGAGTGGGGCTCAGTGAAGCCCGATTGAGGAATGGTTCGACAGGAAGCCCCCATGTGCAATGCTTATTCCAACATGTCAAGCTGAACCAGTGAGCCTCTGCCTGTGGTCATAGCCATCAGCACCACTGGAGTCGACAGGTTCCCAACCTCAGTCACTTTTGGGCAGACTTGACAGTTTTGTGTCTGTCACACCCATGTCTGTGCCATTTCCAGGAAAGGCAAAATGAGCTTGCAGGTTCCCTTTTGGATTACAATAAAAGACCATCAATATTTTCTTATTTTGGGTATGCTGGATTCATTTTGTAGTATGACACTTTGGGAGACATAACAGTTTTAAAAGGTGTGTGCTAGCACATCAAGCCACAAGCATGACTTATCATGATTATGTGACAACAAATAATTTGCTCATTCTGGGCTTTAGAAATGGTTTGCCTATGATATTCTGAAGGCACCTAAGCCTCAGACAATGCAGCAAGCATTCAATGCAGCTTGATGGCATGACAATGATTGTCAGCACGAAAAGCTTCATACCATCAGCATTACTGTTTTACCTGACAATTGCATTCAGACCATTTGAATACATGGATTTCTGGGATCAGGGTTCATTCCCAGCAGTGTGTGTTATGTGAGCTCTTACACCCTACCATTAGGTCATGCAATTGGAGGTAAAAAGCTGAATTTTGTGGCAAGAATGTAATGTGCTGCAATGCTTGACATGGTCATCCTGCCCACTGATTTCACATGACCTTTAAGCAGGGGTACTAGCAGCAGGCCATACCTGTCAAATGAAAATAGGAAAATTGTGTCTGAAGCAACTTAAACTTATCCCCCATGGCACCAGTGGATGGATCAGAAGGTAGGTGCCCTATGATGAATTTTACAGAAAGCTGAGACCCAGCCCCAGACCACCTGACATCCCTCTTCACTGTTATTAAATAGAGCACAATTATACAACATGCAGCTGCTTATTGACATCAGTCTAAATTATATGTCAAACATGCTCACAGAGAAACAACATCCCTGCAGCAATTTCAGTGCAAGTGCATGCATGCCAAAAGAAAACAAACTGAGAGGTAATGTTTTAAGGAATTATGTTACACAGGTACTTTCAAGGCAAACATGCTTCACAACCCCTGCCATACAAATATGCATACAAACCCACTGCAATTTGGCCTGGCCTGAAATCAGTGCAGTAGAGCACAAGGCTCAGCACACCAATGTCCTGTAGTGCACAGTGGATGGATATTTTTGAAGACTGATGGATGTGTCATACAGAATTGTATGAAATATATTCATCCAAATGATAATGAATGACTAATGCAGCCAGGGGTTTAGTTTTGCTTTCAGTTGGCCTCAACTTTGGGAAGAAAGTGGTCAAAATGAGAAACCTGTTTTTGGCATACTTTGGGGGCATACTTAGATCATTTTCATTGTTTAGCCCCTACAACTCACTTTGCAAAACTATATATCTGGTTGTACCTACTTACCCTATGCATCATGACTGCCATCAATAATTATGGGACATGTCACCTCCAAACTGATTATGAAACATGGTTTTGTACAAATGAACCAAATAGCAGAGCCCAATACCTAACTATGCCACATTCAAGTAACTCTTCTGTAACTTATGCCACCATTAAGGGCAGTTGCAACTACTTAAAACAGCTCTTTGGAGCATTCATCCTCATGTTAACAGGATAAGAAAATGGATGGTGGATCATAAACCCCAAGTAATCTGTAAAATATTCTAATATTTCAATATTAATTACCTTGCCTCAGCTTCATCCAATTATCACATCATGATATCTGCACTAGCCCTAATTTAATTGGTTAAAATTCACTATCACCACATTCACAAGTGATCATCTGTGCATACCCAGCCTGAATTTGCCTTGCCAATCACTTAAATGTATTATTTTAACAGTGTGTAGCAGTCTCAGCCATTGGTCTGAAATGGGGATCACTTCTGAATGTCCCATTTCAATGGGGCGGGGGTCATTGCATTCAAAAGGATTGTTATATACGACCTATTCTACCCCCCCCCCCCCCCCCCGACCCTAAACCGTTTAGACATCGTGTATACCGCAAGCCATCTATCGGCTGTACCGCCGATTAGACGAGAATTGCTGCAACAGGCACACGACAAAATCAGCTTAAGCCCACGGACGCCCCTTCATTCTTACCACCACGGTCTGCGCCACGTAACTGCGCGCCGCCAGCCAAGGCCACCCGCGCAACCGAACGCTGTTCGTACTGAGCAACCCTTAGCATTGCATTGCAATAACCTAACCGTGACGGACTGGCCTTGTCCCACCAGCGTCGTGAGCGTCTCGATATGGTAGTTGGTGATCGGTAATATGGTGTACCTGCACTAGATTTTTCTGGTGGGCAAAAATGCCCCTGGCACGGATTTTGGTTTAAACTACATGCTACGCGGCTTTCATAATGCATCGAATACAAGGTCGTATCAACATTCACCACCAACATCACACTTGTATTATATTGCGCGGACATCACGATTCCAGCCACCAGCCATTCAGGCCTTCACGTCTTGACACTTTTGACACCCGCTGTGTTGTATCGGTAACAACCTGAAACGTAGAAGGCTTACCCGAAATGTTTCGATGGCACAGACATTTCCGTGATGACAATTTTTGGATTGCCTGCTTACAACAACTTCAGGACTGTTTTAAATGTGCGTAACGTAAACAACGTTAAAAAATCAGGACCCAAGGTATGTTTGTGTGTTCAGCCTCGGACGAAGATTGTGAATTTACAACATTCATAATATCCTGGGATTCACATTGTGTTTTCTGCCGCTAAAAATCATATCTTTAAGCTGGTGTTTGTAGCGCAATGACGCATGCTGTTCATCATGTTACCACGTGCTCACCCAGTGGTGCGTGGTGACGCTACAAAAGAGAATTGACATGATTCATTCATGCTCCCGAGCGCGTTCCCATTTTGGTCGATTGGCACATGTGGAACCCCACTCCCAGCTGGATACGTCCCACTCCCAGCTGGATACGCCCCAGTCCCAGCTGGATACGCCCCAGTCCCAGATGGATACGCTCCGGTCCCAGCTAGATACGTTCCAGTCCCAGCTGGATACGCCCCAGTCCCAGCTGGATACGCCCCAGTCCCAGCTGGATACGTTCCAGTCCCAGCTGTATATGCCTTGGTCCTGAACGCTTATCGGACTAGTATGGACGTTGAAATAGGTCGATACCAGGGCAGGATGGACATGTTTGCCCAGATTGCCTACCACAAACGGCAGTTTCACCTGGAAAAAATCGCTTGTTTCACCTCTCTAAGTCTTCGCGAACATGATGAATTGTTAAATGGAGAACGGGTAGCACCAGCCGCAGGTTTCACTGGGTGTTCCAGGTAGCCGGTATCACAGCAAAGAAGTGTTTTTTTTTTTTTAAAGACGGCTTCGCTTCCGAGGCTGGGGATCAAAAGGTCAGATACCTGCATTCGTGATATAAGGACTGCTTTTTAGCAGCCATGGGGTGTGCCGAATTTCGGTCTTGGGTTATCGCTGTACCGTAACGCGTAGTACTGCGGTATATATACACATCAGTCCGCACCCTACCCCAGGCCTGGTGGAAGGTGCATCGGTCACCTGCGCGCCGCCCCTACGCTGTTGCGAAGGTCTGCTGTCATAAGCCCTGGCCAATGAAACGTAATGTAATTTATACACCAAAGAAAATGACTACCATCTTCTTACAGCGCTACGTTATAGACTTTGGGACTTGGTCATCCAGATTATAAACGGCAGCTTACATTGCACTATGATCTGTACATCATGATTATCATGCGGACAACATGATACTGTGCTGCCCCACTCCCACCGACTACTTCTTTGCTGCTACTACCTTTGCTATCCTGCATATGGGATCTATATTCTATGCACTGAAAGAAATCAGCCTTAGTGGCGCTATGCCCTTATTGCATAACGATCGGAGGCCATACACGGGCAGGACGCCCCCCTCCCCCGCTTTGGGCCCTTTTGCGCGAGGCACAAACCACCTGGCCATTCGATTCGACGGCTTATGACCTTTCAGTGATGATGCAACTTATCGGAGATTAGGAGGCCCGAACAGTCAATAAGCGACACTCCCGGTATGGCCCACTGAGAAATCACACCACAAAGCCTGCTGAAGTTCCAGCTAAGGTTCACTGACCTAGCAACTAGGTTACCTTTGTCTAACCCCGTCTCTACCTCACATAACCAGAAATCAAAGTCGCCTTCCATGTTATCGATGATCTTTTGGATATGACGTTGGTGACCCGTTAGCAAGCTAATTTCCTGCACCGGGCAGGTATTCAGGTTTGTAGGTAGGTACAGGCTTCACGTCTTTACCTCCATCTCCTCTGTTTCCTGATTTTTGACACCAACCCTTACGGACGACCCAAATCGGGCATTTTCATGGTTCGCCAACGAGATCGTTTAGCCTTCTACATAAATATTCCAGGCTTGCGTGCATGCGGTTGTCCGTTTCCGTCAAAATGTGTTAGCCTTGTGTCCAGGGCGCAGCCAGGATTTTCTTATGGCGGGGAGAGGGGCTGCGAGAGGAGGCCAGTGGGGGTTTTTTCACGGTTGTATTTAGCTTTCTGTCAGGAGCTATATATGGATTTAAAACCAAAAATGTGGGCGTAAGGGTAGTGGTGGGAATAGGGGGGGGGGGGGGGGGTGGGAAGTGGAGCGGGGTTAGCCCTTCCCTGGCTGCGCCTATGGTCGTGTCGCTGTGATGTCCGCTGGTCGAGAGCAGAACCTCTGGACCAAGCTTCAATCACCGTTTTTCATCTCTTGAAACTCTGTAACTTCTTATTTTCCATGCGAACCAAATCACGAGAAAAAAGTTGTAGTGGTACTGTAGACTGCCTTATATTGCTGGAATAATATGCCCGATCAGACAGCTTTCACGCAGGAGCCTAGCAATTTAAACGGCAGGATATTTAAAACGATTCCGTTTCCTGCCTTTTTTAGACCGAACGATCCTACGAAGACCGAACGATCCTATATTGGGTGGTTGCAAGGACAACGGTGTCGAGACAGAGTAACAGCAGGGTCGTGCCGAACCGCACTGGACCTTCAGGCAAAAAAAGCTCTCATAGTGAAAGGAATTGCCCATAGATAAGACATGACCTGTCCCATCTGACCTATCTGACCTGTCCCAGCTGACCTACCTGACCTGTCCCGCCTGAGCCACCTGGTCTGTGCCAGTCCATGCGGTAGCTGCCCGCTTCTCAGTCAGCGCAGCACCGTCGGGCACGTAAGTTGACTTTCTCGTCGCTTTCCCGTCGCCAAACACCTGCGCGAACCCGCTCTGAGTACACTTGGCTTCCCGGTGGCTTGGGCTCGAAATACATTATCTAAGGACGTAATTTAGTCTGCAGCAGAGCTCATACACGTCGAGCCTTGCAAGCCAGATTTCTCTCCAAAATGTTTCGCTTGGTTGCCGCAATACGCTTTCGTGTTCAGGCACTCGTTGCGTACGCCACGCTCCACCCAGATAAACTCACTTATAACGACAGGCAATTCATTAAAACCAAATGCAATGCCCCCTCGCTAGAAGTCGTGCCTGCTCATCCCGGTCTATAGCCGCGGTCACTGATGGCAGCCGGTTTCTTGTCGCCAGCGTGCATGCTATGCCGCTGTGTAGTTGAAGCGGCTGGAGACACAAACAAACGACGAATCGCCAACCTACGAGCATCGCATATCATCGTGGACTCAAAATTTATTTCATTAGCAAAGAAGCCATGAACACGCCTGGTTTCAAATGCTCCTGAAAATCTTAGCGTATGTGATTACAGGTGCCAATCGAAAGGGCTCTCACCACTCAAACTACCTTTATATTTACATGCGTGACAACTTGACATACTTGACATACGTAAAGCTATATTTACAACTGTGGCAACTTGATTGATTGAAAACAGTGACAACATCCTGATTCATCTGGTGTGTTTCGTTCTGGCATTGTGGTTTGCTCTACGGCTACTCACACAATGCATGCAAAAGCAATTGCTCTCCGAAGATGTTTCAAGCTTTTTACCAAGCACCCCATATCCCCATTCGCTGCCTTCCCCAAGCTCCCGCAACGCCGGCCTCACTGGGTCAGACTGCAGCCGTCAGTCCTGAGCAAGCCTCGCGGCCGCGCGGGCCAGGGCCACAACCAGAGCGCTCGCGCACATCTCAGAGAACGTCTGTGTGGGGTAAGACTCGGCGGCGGAGACCTCCCACCATAGCTGTAGCATGGCTCCACTTCTCGCCTCTCGTTAATCCCGTAGCCCTTAAATGACCATTGCTGGTCGAAAAGGTTTCACACCAAACGAAGCTCTTCATGAAAAAGATGGATGTGCGCAAGTTAATCAGACTTAAAATGCCCAAATAATTCATTGAGATTGTTGGAAATATTCGGATTTTGGGAACAAATTTATTTTCAACCTGACTACGTTGTGCACGGGAGCAGACCCCGATTTCGATGTGCAATTGATGACAACTATGCGATTTCCTCTCGTGTTACACCGCGACCCAGTTTGGCCTATCCCGCACGGTTCAAATAGTCGTGCCATCATAGAGTATCGAACCCACGTCGTGCTTAGAAAACTCCCAGTGCCAAGCGCCACTGCCGGTACCACGGCGTGCCAGTGCCAATTCCGCTCCTAAATGTCACTACCACCCTATGCCAAGCCGTGTGCCAAATTCCACACAATACCTGCACGAAATGTGACGTAACAACTCCAGGGTTCTAGACCAGCCTGCAAGCCGTCACCCGGGCTCTCCCCAGCACATGCCAGGTACGTGAGCCAGGCATGTTTTCGCTGCCGCCGGGCAGATTTCCACTGTAGCCGGGCACGTTTCCGCTGAAGCCGGGCACGTTTCCTTTGAAGCCGGGCATGTTTCCGCCGTAGCAGGGCATGTTTCCGCTGTAGCCGGGCATGTTTCCGCT